TAAAGACCTTTTTGTACACCGAATTTAATGTGGAGTTTGTTGTTTTTCCATTATCGCATATACGAAATTTTAAACCAGTTGAACTTGGGTCTCTACATACATATATCGACATAAACCTTCACATGGGTGAAAACTGAAAACCGGTCGTCTTAAGAATAATCCACATTTTTCACCGACTTGTTTTGACTCTTATTGATGATCGTCATCGCATAGCTAACTATTAGAGGAAATTGCATGTGTTGCATGGGCTTATCTGATTAAATAATATTTTAAATTTTTAAAAGTTAAATGCACATCTTCAAACCTATTTTTTATTTTTTTGAAAAAATCTTCACTCCTATTAAAACTTGAATGTTTTAGTCCTGAAAATGTGCCACCTTAAAATATTTTAAAAATAATTACTCCATCCGTCCCTTAAAGCATTGACATCTTTCCTTTTTAGGACATCCCAAAAAACTTTGTTACTTTCTCTTTAAATCAATTATTTCGTGTTTCCTATTATTTCTCTCTCCTCTACACAAACCTCAACCACACAATTTTTACTTTATTATTCTCTGTGTCAGTCAAACATGACAAAGTTTTAAGGGACGTAGGTAGTATGTTGGAAGTGAACTTTGTAACACATAGAAATGATTTGATTTATAAACCTCCATATGTATAATTAAATAGTTATTTATGTGTTTATTTATTTATTTAGGTATTTATTTATGCATTTATTTATTTTACACCTATCGAATCACAGGTTGGTTTGATATGTTGAAATCTAGTGTAGCCGATCCAATATAAAATATCTCAGAACATAAATTTGGTACAACCAATAAACAGAGCAAAAGGCATTTACTATGTAGTTCATCAAAAGAAACATTGCTGACGGTTTTATGAGGTCAGCATCTCGATGCACATAAACTTAGTGCTGGACTCGGGCCGGGCGGCCCGAACCGGAACCGGCCCGGCCCAGTTACTGTGTGAACCGGCCCGGTGGCCCGGTGGCCCGGTCCACCGGCGGTTCGGGTCGAACCGGCCCGGTGGATACCGGTTCCGGGCCCGGGCCCTCCATTTTGTGAACCGGCCCGGCCGTTTCGGGCCCGGTCCGGGCCGGAATAATTTTTTTTTTAATTTTTTTTTTAAATTTTTTTAATTTTTGGGTTGGATTAGGTATTTTGGGCCATTTGAGGTGGTTTGGGGTTGAAGGGGAGGGGTAGGGGGTTAAATAAGAGAAAGCTAGTGAGATCGACCAACTCCAAAACACTACCATTGATAGCTAATCTAATGTGCTATATTGCATATATTGAAGTAATAGTTCAGCATTTTTATTACTAAATACACTGTTCAAAGCATGCAATGGAAATAACAGAAGTATACCTTTTACAGTTAGTCTATATCTCCTTCCAAATTGTTATAATGTCAAATGGTTAATAGAACCTCTACTTCAATGCCTTTTGAGTACTTCAATCAAAGTAATCAATTTTCGTCTTCAAATGTTAGGTACTTGGTACTTTTCAGTCATCATACGAAGCTAATGAATCATTTTGTAAGTGGGTGAACAAAAATGGAGGGATGGATTTTACATGACGGTTATGGCAACGGATGGAAGTAGACGGGCAGTAGCAAATAGCAATGTATTGTGGGGCTGGCCTCTCTATTCAGGTTTGATGGAATAGCAAATCTCATAACTTTTTCTTTAAATCGGATTGAATAGATGAGAAATCAAGAAAATAGATTATAAAAACGCAGCTTATAAGACAAAATTATGAATGAAAAAAATTCAGAACTCTTTTTTTTTTATTTTTTTTTATTTTCTGGTTTTATTTTAAAACTTTCTATTTTCTGTAAATCTGTGTTCAAATATGTAGAAACCTTCTTGAAAGTATTTGATTTTTTGTCTTAAGAACCCTTATGTGAATCTACACTTCCCTTTTTAATCCATGATACAAACTTAATTTTATAACCAACAACAAACCCATGTTCTGAACTTGGATTAATAACCAACAACTAATCATTGGTTCTATAACTACTTGGTTTTAACAAATTAATTTCAGGTTGATTTTCATTCAGAAAAGTGATGGGGGAGATTGTCAGGACTCAGGATTGTCTTAGCAGTGCCATTGAAGAAAATAACACGAAAAAAAGGCACTAATATACATAGTATGTTTGAAAACATTCAAACTTGGGAGGATCATCACCATTCCAATTTAAACTCTCAACCTATTGATAGGTGAAATTTAGTCTTTATTCTTGAATAATAACCATAAATTGAACTACCAAAGTGATTTTTAGTATGAAATTTGAAAAGTAAATTGTGTGCTTTATCATATAAATTCGGGAAGAGGTTGTTTGTCAGGACTCAGGAGAGTTATCATATAAATAGGGATATCATTAATTAAATGATAGGGACCACAATGAAAATAAAGATTCCTATTACTTTGAAGAGATTGAAGAGTTATAATAATTGTCTAATGTAAGGTGGCAGAAGTAGAGCCTTTTCCACAGAAAGGTTAAAGGCGAAAAGCAAAAACAATTAAATAGCAAACTCAGCGAGCCAAAATCTGCAGGCTAATGATTATTGAGAAAAAAAACTGTTTATCAACACACATTGGCTGGAAATAAATGATTATACACACACAAACATATAATCAAATCCAGGATGTTTAACACGATGCTCAAGCAAATCCAGGATTAAATGGAAATAAGAGCCATTAAGCCTGTAGATTTTGGCTCGCTGAGTTTGCTGTCAAGAAATAAGAAAGCTATAACTGAAGCAATAGGTGGTAACATTGGAGCACGAAATAAATATGAAAATGAAAACTAAAACGGAACAATTGGTTGACTATATTGCAAGTATGAACTATGAGCATCATTATTCAAAGTAAGCCGCAGATCTTCAAATGATACATTAATAAATTATCATTTTATGAACTATGAGCATCATTATTCAAAGAAAGCCACTGATCTTCATATGATAAATCAATAAATTATCATTAAGAAGATATGCCAAGTATACATATCATACCTGAGAGGCGCCTAGAATTGGAGTGCACCTCGCAAGTGAGTGAAAACCTGAAAATATTGAAATACTCATATGAAGTTATAATGACATAGTTGTTGGTCTCAACTCTGACCAAAATGGGTCTTCAACTAAAATGCCTTTAACTAATTAGAAATTGAAAAAATTCCTAATTTATATGGATACCAATTTTAATGAAATTAACTGGTGGAGATCAATATACTTGAATGGAAGACCTAACTTTAGAACCATAAGCCCCTAATTTATAAGACTACCAAATCAAAGCTTTTTTGTATTAATTTTTAAGTGTTCTACATTTAGATCCTATTATATATAGGCTTGCATCTAGGAAGACAGAAAGGGGTGCTACTAAGGTATTCTTTTAAGGTATTGTTCATGCACTGATTTTCTTATACACAAGAATTTTCACCTCAACGTCTTACTTCATGAAACAAAAAAAAGTTAAAAAGAAGATTATAAATTTATAATATGAGTGCAGTGAATACTGGCTAATTTTAAGACAATTAAAAGATATGAAACAAACCTTAATCAGCTCATCCTATTATTTGGGAATAGCATCCGTTGAGGAGTGTAATCATTAATTGAATGCTAAATAGGGATGGAATTATCATTGGCAAAATTCAGAACTCTTTTTTTGGTTTTTTTTTATTTTCTGGTTTTATTTTAAAACTTTCTATTTTCTGTAAATCTGTGTTCAAATATGTAGAAAACTTCTTGAAAGTATTTGATTTTTTGTCTTAAGAACCCTTATGTGAATCTGCACTTCCCTTTTTAATCCATGATACAAACTTAATTTTATAACCAACAACAAACCCATGTTCTGAACTTGGATTAATAACCAACAACAAATCATTGGTTCTATAACTACTTGGTTTTAACAGATTAATTTTAGGTTGATTTTCACTCAGAAAAGTGACGGGGGAGATTCTGATTTTTAGCAGATTAACTTTACACTTTTTAAGGTTATTTACATGGTATAATAAATTCAATTTCCCTGCGCTAGTGCGCTTGCATTTGAAAATAAATAATCAAATGGTTTAAATTATTTGATGTCCTTGAATATGTATGTTAATCATTTGTTAATAATCATATCCCGAATTTCATTTAAAAGAACATCAATCCAAATTTTTAGTTGCCCACTAAAAATGTTCAATTTCTGGAGTATGAACCATATTCAAAGGAAAAAGCTTAAGAAAGGAGAACCCAAACAAACTCTACCCTAAACCATGGAAAATCAATTATTGAATATAGTATATCAATCATGTAAGGGAACCAGCTTAATTAAGGCTTCTAAAACTATGAAGCTGATTTTGGATATGTAATTATAGCAAACACATGGTCCCTATTAAGACTTCAGGCACTGAAAACTACAAAAGGTAACCACTAAAGAGCTCGAAGGGAATCAAATAACCATCAACTAAGATTCCGATTGAACCTTAAAATGAGAAGATAGTGCTCAGTTTTGAATCAAATATAAATTTGTATGAACTAAATAGAGAAGAGAACCTGGTTGCTAGCATGACAATCGATGCAAGAAGACCACTTGAAAGTGCAGCAGAACTTATTTCTTCGAGTATGTGGGCGTGCGGATGGAAGAAGCCAAGAAGGTCAATGTGCCGGTGAAGAGGGTTACCGAGGTGTGGGGTGTGCGGCCTTGATGGCTTCAAAGGGAGGCGTGAGGTGATTTCAAAAACTGAAGAGAATGGGGAAATCCTAAAGAAGGGATTGGGGAGAAATGTGGGAGAAGCTCAGAAAGCCAGAAGTCGGCTGCAGGGAAAGTGAAATCGGAAAGAGAAAGGTAGGCTTAAAAGAAAAAGAAAGGTAGGCTTAAAAGAAAAAGAAAGGTAGGCTTAAAAGAAAAAAGGAAGAAATAAAATAAACGGCCCTGATGTATTCTAAACTAACGGTTCTGATGGATTTGTATCGCTATTAAGTATAAGGATTCTTGAGGGTACTCTCTTATTGATTTTGCAAATGGTGCTAAACACCCAAGCACAAAAATATTGAAAAATAGCCCAAGCCCAAATCAGGATCGCAAGTCGCAGACTTCGGCCCTTCCGAATTACGGGCGTCCATCGTCTTATGTGGCTTCGTCACGCACTCACGCCTGTCGGTGTATGCCGCTCTAATCATCTGAGCCTGCAACCAGCAGTTCTCCGGCCTTCCGATATCAGGTATGTCTACAAGTCTCAGTTTTATTTTTGCTACAGTTTTTATTTCACACTTTTTCGTTATTAATATAGAAATCTTAAACCTGGTTTTTATTCCGATTCCGAATGCTTCCTGAAACCTGGTTCATACGCCCTTTCTCCCTAAAACCTACGCCTTGGTTTTTACTTTTGAGGGTTTCAAAAGAAAAAAACCAGCAATTTACCAGCAATTTAGATGCCAGCCTAAGAGTATTACAATTTTTTTACTTCAGGTATTCAATTTACAATGAATAAACTATATTAGTTACTACAATGTAGTGTCATAGTAACTTAAGTTTAAAAGTTGAACATGAGTACTATAATTTCATTACTATTCTAGCCATTAATCACATTTCTGTAAACCGTCTTCATTTTAGTCATAAATATGTAATTAGTTCAAGTTTATCCTTCAAAAAACAGACTATAAGAGTTTAAATATTTACTATTTTGATTACTTTTTATTGCTTTAACCAATTAATATTATACGGAGTATTTAGTATTAATGTGAATATGTGATTGTTTTTTCACATCGTTATTGTGTTTACATGGTTGATTAATGTCACAAGGTGATTAGGTAAAATAATCATTTTACACATTTAGTTCTAATGTTATTTGTGATTTGTGATTTCACCCCTACTTGATTGCAATGCTAGATCCGCCCCTCCGAACGCTCTCCGTTGGCTACAATTTAACGGCGACATCTGGTAACTTTGATAGAAGATATAAGAAAACTATCGATCTCTCGAAATGAGTGCAGGTAATTTTTTATTTTCAGCCAGGCACTGTTACAGCTTTTATCATATTATTCCATATGGATTAATGTATTGAGCTAGTGGCGTATCTAAAAATATTATTGACTACAAAATTTGAGAATAAAACATTCAAATTAACTTAAAATATTTAAACAATTTTACTTGAAAGTACAACTCTTCTATAGTATTATATTACCTTCGTCCCATTTTATGTGTCCTACTTAGGTTTGGTAAAATTATTAATAAAGTGATTGAAAAAATAAAAGTTGTGGTTGAGATTTGAGTATAATAAAGTGTAATGGTATAGACCACATATTTCTTTCTTGAAAGGAAAATGTGACATTTATTTTGGGACAACCCAAAAAAGAAAGTGAGACAGGTAAAATGGGACGGATAAAGTATTTTTCAGCTGTTCACATTGCTTCACACAAAACACGGTCTAATGTTTTACTCCCTCCGTCCCATTTATATTGTCCCGTTTTACCTTTTCGGGAAGTCCCACTTAAATTGTCCCATACCATATTTGACAAAGTTTGTGTGGCTCTAAATCATTCTTACTTTATTCTTACTTTATCAATTAATATCAACCACACAAACCCACTTTTCTTAATAACCATACCACTCTCTTCCGTCCCAATATAAATGGGACGGAGGTAGTATCTTTCTACGGAATTTTGTTGTTTTTATAAATCCAGAATAGATTGTGTGCCTTAACATCGTTCCGAAAAAACACTCCGTTCTTTATAATTTTTCCAAAGTTGACTGACATGTAAAATAATAAACTAAAAATTGTAGTGTTGAAGTTTGTATAGTGGAGAGAGTCAGAAAACTAAGAATCATAAATTCGTTATCTAAAAAGGAAAGTATCAAAGTTATTAGGATGATTAAAAAGAATGTTGACAAAGTTATTCGGATAATTGTGTTGTTTAATGTACCACCGTTCACAAGATCCACTTGGAGCAGTTGCCCCCACTGCCCCCATGATGGATACACCCCTGTATGGAGCCAGTTAAGTTCATTTTCAATGACACTTTTCGACTAAACTCTGAATGTTTTTAATTGGACGGGTATCATCTCAACAACACATCACATTAAAAAAAATCAGAATAGACCGGATCAAACCAAACTTGAACATTAGTAAAAACACATGCACCAGACGTCTACTAGGTTAGACCAGACTTAAGCAGACCCGACCAAACTAGAAAATTTTACTCCATTTAAAAACATCCTAATAATTCCTTCTTACTAGTTTAGTTGTTTATAGTCATGCTTTTATAGCATATCTCTTATATTTTGTATTATGAAATTGAAGCATCACCATGTTTCCTTTGGAGGAATGCAGTATTTGAGGGTGAACTAATAAAGAGTTCATCAGAATAGAGACTTTCAATTCTATGGCAATAATAATTGACAAAAATCAGGTTAATGTTGTTTCTAAACTGCTGAAGAGTGGGGAAGAATCTATACTATGGTGAGCTAAAGACTAGGGAAGCTAAAAAAATCTTAAATTTTCTAGTGTAAACCTTTTTACTTTCCCATTAAGCTCACTCGCTAATGTTTAAATCTAGTATAATTACTCTGAGCTCAGTCCAATGTCCTGATAAAGAGTCTCTGTGTAGAGAGTTTTCTTTCCTGCACAATGATGTTGTATTGGCCCTCATTTTGTGATTACATTCGGGAGGGTTCATGAAAAATCACTATACTCTTAATACAAAGGGTGAATGACTAATGTGAGTGAAGCCACTCCCTCCTTATTTGTTTCCATTACCTAAGCTTATCTGATAGATGCCTCTTAAATGTTTGAAGGAGGGGCATTTGGTGGAAATAGAGGATTAAGGCCTGTGCCTCCAGAAAAGGGAGTTTTTCCTCTAGACCACTCACATTTATGTGACTCGGTATGTTGGTGTTAACTATTGATGATTTTCTTCCCATTTTTCATTAACAAAGATAACTTAGTTTTTTGAGTGGTGGAACTACCGCTAAGGACTCATTCATTTGGACTGAAGTTTTCTGGCTTATTCAAGTCTGATCTTGTTTGTTACAGGTAATATGTTCTGTTCTATCTTGAATAGGTCCTACTGAATAGGTCCTGATCTATTATTCTTCATTGGTTCTCATTGTACTGGTTGTCATCAGGAGAAAAAAGATTACCTCGGCTGTTTGAAAACGTCTGGACATCAATCAGAAAAGTGTAGACAGTTCTCAAAGAAGTATCTCAAATGTCGAATGGAGAAGTAAGATCATTTGCTTCATCTGGATTTTATTATCTTATAAGAGAGTTTCAGAATTTGAATTGTGAGTAATGCTTCGTGGATGCATGAGGGTTTGCAGAAACCTAATGGCAAAGCAAGACTTGTCAGAACTCGGATTTGGGAAGCAATATGATGCAGAAACTTCTTCTGAGGAAAATAAGGACGCAAGGATAGAGAAGTGATGATAACTTAAACAAATATTTTGCTTGACCTTTTCGGGAATCCGTCCATTTTTTGGCGTTATTTTGAGGTTTGCTGCACCAAAATGTAAAACCATAGTTATAAATTTCACGGGAGACAAGTAATCCTTTTGGTGTTGATTTGATCACAAAAATTAGTTAATAGCACACTTATTTGTTGAATTGCTTCTGTCTTTCTAGGATTAGTATTTAATATAGGTATCGTCAGATTATTGAAGATAGTTAGCATTTGATGTCAGTGGAAGGTTCCTGCGTTTATTTATGAGGAAGCCCTGATTAATAGGGGTGGACCGGTTCCGGTTCGGGCCCGGTCGGGCCTGGGCCCGGCCGGGCCTCGGTTCAGAAAAATGAGGCCCGAGCCCGAACCGGTGGTGGGCGGTTCCGGGCAAGACCGGGCCGGGCCGGGCCACCCGGATTTTTAATTTTTAACTTTTTTCTTCTTCTCTTATTTAACTCCCTACCCCTCCCCCTCCACACCAAACCACCTCAAATGGCCCAAAATACCTAATCCAATCCAAAACTTAAAAAAAATCAAAAAATAAATAAATAAATTCTGGCCCGAATCGGGCTGGTTCACTAAACTGGAGGCCTGGGCCCGGACCGCTTTTCCACCGGGCCGGGTGGCCCGAACCGGGCACAAACCGGTTCACCGGACCGGTCCGGGCCCGCACAGTAGCGGGCCGGTTGGCCCGGCCCGAGTCCATCCGTAGCCCTGAATCAAATATTTGCGTTTTTAGAATTTTGGCAAATTGCATTTGCCAAAATTCTAAAAACGCAAATATTTGATTCAGGAATAAAGTCTACAGCCCTGAACCAACTGTAGTAGTTATGACTTGTGAGATTCCAAGTTCAATGAATAAAGTCTGCAGATCAGGAATCAGAAAAGAAAAATAGTCTACGGAACATTTTTGTAGGCTTGCACAGTTGCACCTAGGGGGAGACCTGGGTCTGTCCGGTTATAGTTCCAAGCCTAGACTGCCCGGTCCTTGTCATATTTTTGTGAAGCCTGGGCCTGACCCGTATTATTCTTGTTCTGGGCCTGTTCTGAGTACCCGGTCCGGTCCCAATTCCGGACTGGTTCCATTTTTTTTAAAATGCCCTATTTCCAAGTAGGGAAAAAATTACCGGTCAGGATCAGGACTGCCCGGTCTAGTCCCAAAAATAGAAACCAGGACCGGTATTTGATTTTAACTATTTCATAAGCGGGGCTCCTTCGTGCACCCCCTAACTTGCTAGGCGCACCTTTTTTGTCAATCTATAGTTTTGTATAGTAAAGTTGAGTTAAAAACTAATGATGTGTCAACCTCCTATTGGATAATGCAAATTCTATTATCACAACAACTAAGACAATTAAATAACTCACACGACTCTTTAAAAAAAAACTCCTACCTCACGGCTAATTTGGACAAAAAGAATGAGAAATAATCTCTCTTAGCTTTTTTAAAGTGAGATAACTTTAATATTTATAATCCAATTTTTATAAAACATATATCAAAATTCATAACTTTTTATCATCTTTCATATGACACCAGTATCATATATATAAAAATAAAATAAAGATCTCTAACTCTCTATGTCCCCTAGAAAGGCTCCCACATGGTTTGCGATATTTTACTGACCATAAAGTTAATTGATCTGTGTCCGTAATTATATTTCTTTTATTAAATAAAATTTACATATTCAGAGACTACATCAAAAGTTTTATAAAATCACAAAAGAAAAATTATATTTGATAAAAGTTGGATATATAAAGTAATAGATTAAGAAGACTTTTGGTTGACTGGAGAATACTGGACGAGAAGTTCTGAATGGGATGACGGTAGTATTTTATATAGCAAAACTGAGTCAAAAATCCTATTGATTTATAAAAGTTCTATTATCACTGCAACTAAAACATTTAATTCATATAAGTTGACTTGGTTCATCATTGTTATTCACTATGTGTATTAATGCTCATTTGAGGAAAGGGAAGGAGAAAAAATGTATTATAGCTTATTTATTTATACGCCAATTTTTATAAAAACACATCAAAGTATATGATTTTTTATGGTCTTTCATATGACACCAATATTGCATATATAAAAATAAAAACATTATTTTATACAATAGATTTGGGTTAAAAATATTAATCAATGAGGTGCTAGTCTCTTATTCGTTAATAAAAAAAATTATTATCATTACTACTAAAACATTTAATTAATTCAAGTTCATCGGTGCATCTGTGTTATTCACCAGATGCATAAGTGCTATTCATATTAATCATGCCAACTCATTTGGAGAAAGTGAAGGAGAAAAAATCTCTTTTAAAGCGCTATACCTTTTTTATTTTTATTCCAATCTTTAAGAAAGTTTATATCAAAATTCATAAATTCTTATGATCTTTCTTATGCCATCAATATGGTATATATAAAAATAAAAATATTGTTATTTGATATAATAAAAATGAGTAATGAATCATTAATGTGACTATTTCTTATTACTTAATAAATGTCATGAATGGAGAACCAAAAGCATTTCATTCATTCACATCTAGCCATATATACAGGAGAAGGGGAGCTAGGGTTACATTCATGATCATGGGCCAATACATGTAGACCTGTGAGTTAATGGACATCCACATAATTACATAACACCCCCCTTGGATGTACATTTCTAAATAAAAACATTACAAGAAAAAATAGGCATTAATCTCTTTGTACACAATGGTAATGCTGTCTCATTAAAAACTTTGTTGAGGAAAACCCAGTGGGACAAAACCTTGGTCCAAGGAAAAAGAGTGCAACGCATGTATACTCTCCCTGTTGACTGCATTGATTCAGGACTTCTTGTTGAATTCAAATTGATCCAATCTAGTTACTAGCTTCTTGAATGAAAGATTATACAATGTGTATGTGTATGCCTCGTTAAAAACCTTGTTGGAAAACCCCTTTGAGAAAAAACCAATCAAGAAAAAGAGTGCATAATATATGTACAACAATGTGTTGCATTGACTGCCTCATTAAAAACCTTTAACTAAGAAAATCATGTGCGAAAAACTTAGTAAAGGAAAAGAGTACAGTGATTGGTCTTCGGGGCCTGATCTTCTTGATTGCATTTGAATTTACTCTTTTAGAGAAAAATAGTATGCTATTCAAAGTGACAAACTGCCTCGTTAAAACCTTTGACCAAGAAAACCCTATGGGACAAAACTTGATTAAGGAAAAAGAGTGCAGTTGCATATGATCTTCCGGACCAATAAATTGTTCGATCTCACAAGGACCAATTAAGACCTTCAGGGTACTGTCTTCCTCATGAATATGGTACACTTTAAAATTCTAGTCATGAAATCATGTGAAACACATAAGAAAATTGTTCACATTAGATCCTCTACAGGAGGCACTCACTACAAGTGATATTTTCACATGGTGCAAAGACTTTGTTCAATCATGATATAAAATAATTTGCATCATGATAATCGAGCATAGTTCTTCTACAAAATAAATCATGTCATCAAGACTTAATGTGATCACCCAGGTTGTGGTAAGGCACAAGCATCTCTTTTTACGCTTCCAACTATGCTTACAATTTACTGCATTTCTTATTGTTACGTTGCAGTTATTCAATCAAATTCAAAATCCTTTTCAAGAATAATTCCAAATATAATTACTATAACTTAGAACATAATGTCTTTATCTAATTATTGTAGACATAAAAGAATTCATATTCATGTTGCATATTGTGTGCACATATTTCTTTTCATAATTGTCATTCAGGGACACACATTTGATATTATAGCAATGACATCCAATTCTCTCATTAACTGCCACATTCACAGAACTTCAAACTATAACAGGAATGTAATCACAAAATCATTCAAGCTCAAATATTGGCACCCAACGTACACAATATCTTGATTTGTGGGACTTCAGGCCCGAAATATTTTCTCATCCATAAACATCGATCATAATTCACAAAATTTTAGGACTACATGTCCTTCACATTTCGTCTGGCCAGACTTTATTATTATGGATTATGGATCGATAGTCTTGGAAAAATAAATCATTGACGTCAATCTAATCAATATGATTCCTGTTTTATCAGTCCTCTATTTGAGCCATAAAAGAGGAACTCGTGTTCTGTATCAAGTAATTCTATATAAATTATCAGTTGTGGCATTGAACTTATATCATCCTCTTGTAGAGGCATAAGTGACTTATTTTAATAAAAACCGGTTTTATTTTATATACACATAATGACCGTCTAACCATGCTTCATGCATTGGTTGAGCTCAAACTTTATAATCACTTCTTCCAGTCACTTTGGCAGTTTACTTATCATATGTTACACGTTTCTCTTTTCATATCATTCAATCCTTCTGGGATATTTTTCCGACATTCAAAAATATAATTATGCTTATGCCATTATATCTCCCCCTAATGTCGGAAATTGTGCCATAATGTTTTTGAACAAGGATTTACGTGCATATATATGGAGCCACTTTTGGGGTCAAGTGCATCGTTTCTATAGTGGAATTTCAACATTGACACATTTTGGCTCATTTGAACGTGTAAACTTTTGGAGGTTAGTTATTAACAAATGCCGAATTAATATAAACTAGATTTTCTTCACATATTTATGCAATTTTGTAGCAGTTTATCTCAGGCAGAACATTCATCTTATAATGTTAGATAAACTATGTGGGTTAATTTATGCTCTTCACTATATTTCATAAAAGCCGGCAAAGTGGTCTTATACCACTCATTACATGTCAACATTTCAATAGAGCATATTCTTGAGACCAAACTTAATATTATTAACCCACGTTGTGAAAATTCAAGTTCACTTAACTCTCATGGATCCACTTTTACAATATTGGGAGAATAGACGGTATTGTCATTTTCTTATCTAAGAAGTATTTACGTACTGGATGTCTTATACGACATTTGGTTTAAACCTGGGTTGACCTTAAACTGGTCATTTATTCAAAAAAAAAAAAAATCTTTAACTTCATGCAACATGTGTTTAAATTTTTCAAGTATATATAATACAGTATAAGGAGAATTCTGTACTGGCAGATATTAAGGAAACATAGTTTACACTGCGTTGGTATGGTCTCAAACTATCACCTAATAAATATGATATCACTTTTCAAACTATTACTTCGCAGTGTTTGAGTAGCTTCTTTGAGCTTGCACTCAATGCCTAAGATTTTATCATTATTATTTATGTGCCAACTTGTTTATAAATATAATTTGTGTTTCCATTACTTTTTATC